CTACTACTACTACTACTACTACTACTACTACTACTACTACTACTACTACTACTACTACTACTACTACTACTACAGTAGTAAGACTAGATAATCTCTATATCATGTCCATTCCAGGGCATCGATCACGGCCTCGGAAGCTCGGAGCGAAGCGCCTCCAGTGCCTGCGGGCATCTGCCGGCTGCGGCGGAGGGGAAGGGAGCGGTGGTTTAAAGACGTTTAAATGGATTCCGATGAGATCCCGGTGGGATCTTTATTTATGTATGTATATTATATATATATACTATATATACATGTACTGTACGATGTACTGTATATACATCATTAAGGCCTCTTGTGACTTCTTGGAATTTCAAGGATTGGATGTGGAGCGCTTAAAAAAGACTACAGTCAGAACACATGACAATCGTAACAATGTCATAAAGCAAGCGTTGAATCCAACAAGGCGTTTCAATTTGACCCATACAAACAACCTATCAACAAAACCCAAGGAATGCATCATCAATTTGCTTCCGTCATCCTCTGTCTCTCTCCGTATTGCATGTATAATAAGTTCAACAGGGTCATTCCTCGGCAGTTTGGTTCCACGATCGCCTCCATATGGCCCGGCCCGGTCCGGCCTTCTGCTTTTGAGCCTTGCTGCAGCCCGTCTTCCTCAGCAAAGCAAAAAAACACAGCAAAGACGTCCTGCGCATCCTTGTAGGGGGAGGGTCCAATTGAAGACCCAAACAGGACCGCACAATCCATCCAGATCTCCGTCCGGATCTGCCAAGTATCTTACACGAACACACAGGTCAACTCACCCGCAATTTCCACGTCTCACCCTACCCATCCCACATCCACACACTCCTTCTCCTTCTTGCAGCCCCCATGCTAAACCCAAGAGCAAAGCATACCCAACCGAACCCTTCGGCCAACGAGAGTGGCGTTTGATCATCGAGGTGCGAGAACACCTGAGAGTCCAAGAAGACCTGCGGAATCGGCCGGAATCACCGTCACCCCGCGACGGTTCGCGCACGCCCTGATGAAACACCGGTACCTGAGATGCGGCTCGCAGTGCGAGAAGACTTGGAGGATCACATCAGGATGCAATGTTTCAGCACACCCTCGGGACAAAAAGAAGAACACACACAAAGGTGACCAAGGTATGACCAATCTCCAAGAGATTTCAACCAAGTCCCAAGGTGACCAGGTATGCCTGGGCCATGCCTTCTCAGTCCCTCTTGCCCCGTCTCCCCGTCGCCGGACGGGCGCGAGACGGCCTCCATTCCACCCTTGGCAGGTAGGAAGATCGAAGGACCCGCATTGGTCACCGTCTTCTCACAGCGGCCTCCGGAGGCTGGAAGCTGGAGGCTGGAGATGGTCAAGGAAGTCTGGAACGAAAGACAGTGCAAGATCATGTGGATTTAGCAGGTGATCTTTTAGGTTTGAAAACACCTGAGATGGCCATTCAATCTATGGAGAGTTTCTTTTGGACCATTTGGCTTTCTGGTTTCTTTGGCTGCGAAAACCATGCCGTGTGGGGCCGTGTGGGGCCGTGTGGGCCCGGGCCTCCGCCAAAGTCCGGCAGCTGCCGCTTGGAGGAGTTGTTCACACCCAACACCAGCTTGCAGCCTGTACGTTGATGCAAACGGGGGGAAACTAGTGCACACACACACACACTGGGCAAATCTGACTTAGCAAACAATGGATAGTACCTCTTCAAAAGCAAACAGTTGAGGGACCAGTTGTGAGAAGTCCTTCTTCTATACTTGCCAGTTCTGAAACGACTTATATTTCAAGCATGGAGCTTCTGAAAAACTATGTTTTTTTGTTTTTCGCACACCAACCACGCTGTGTGAAGGTCCAACAATTGATTCAATCTCCAGTGGCTCAGTAATCGCAGCAAACTATATATCAATGAAGATCTACATCTACCGCGGAGATTTCGCCCCGAACCCAGCCCCCAACGAAAAGCGCCTTTGGTGCTCATAAACTCCTGCCGCTCGCCCACATGCGATCGAACCGTCCCTTTCGGGGGACGTCCCAAGCTGGGACCCACCGGTCGAGCTGGGAGCAGAGCTGTACAAGCGAAATGTGTCTCTTTCTGCGCAAGCTCTAGTGACGGAGAGGTTCTATCTCAAGAAAGTCTTTGGCGCCGACTGATATCGCGCCGTGGAAGAACCAAAGTAGGCCGTGGATGGAAGGTGAACTTACTCTGATTCACTAGCCTCTACAGCGTGGCAATTAAGGGTAGTGATGGTCAACCATCACAATGTTCACTTAGAGTGGGGGTCAAGTAGGACACTGCATTGGTCCTTGCACCCTCAAGAGAAGCACGCAAATGCCATACTGCAGGGGAACCGCAAGAGGGCTTTGACATGTGACACACACCGGGTTTTGACGTTATTCGCAGTGACGCGAACATATCCTGACAAGATCTGACAAGAATAATGATCTGAAGTCTTGCACATAGAGGTAGATCACAAAGGTGTCCATTGCTCATATTTTTGACATCACACACCCTGTTCAAATCATGGTATCTGAAAGCCTTGAGATGTTTGTTGTTCTTCGCATAGCTGCAGCATATTATTGTTCATCTCAAGAGGGTTTAAGGTTCCACGCAATTCAAGTTTTATGCATAACAAATTATTCTACATGCCATGCGGGCCAACAGTCACAACCCAAGCCGTCCGAGTAGAGGTCAAAGACTCTCCTGGCGACTGGCGCAGAATCCTGTGTCCCGCTGTGTCCCTCGCTCGGATGTGGCTGATTGGCTTAGAATCCTATGATATCCAAAAAAAATCTAGGGTTAAATACTCGGTACTCTCCCATGTCTTCTCACTGCGACATTGCAGTGTAAGGGGGATCCCAGATCTGGCTCAAAGGTTCAAAAAGTCCCGCGGATGGTTGAGATATGTTGAGATGTTGCAACCCACTGAGCTGCTTTCTAGAATCCCCTGAACCATGCTTAATGGCGATAGTGATCGATAGTGCAAGCACATCAACTTGGCCATCATTTTCTTTGAGTCTGCACCAAAAATAGAGAACCCTACCATCCTAGACGCCATCCTTTCGAACGTCGACCACTAGTTGAACTCCAAAGTAGTATGTACTTTTCTCCCAAGTCCCAAGTCAGTTGACTCCTTGGACAAACACATGCCAGCCATGCCCGATTTCCTGTGCTCCACTTGCCAAGCGCCATCGCGCTTTCCTCGAGGTCCAGGGGACATGACTGGGTCTCAACATGAGACCCAACATCTAGACACTAAGGAATCCATTGACCAATAGAATGCCTTTGTCAGTTCCAACTGTGAGTCTGTCACTGTCACAGGTCTGGTTTTGTAAAGACCATCTACAGTATCACGAGCAAGCAATGGGACATAAAAATCAATCATATCTACCAACGGAATTTATATCGTTAGTCGTTAAGTACTGAATCTCTCTATATATATATATATCGTGTATGTTATATATATATATATAAAGGATAATACCATGGAACGCCGCGTCGCTGTGTTTCTTCATGGGCCCTCAAAGGTGATTCCTGGGGCCCTCTCTACCGCCCAGCTCGTTCGTGGGTATTTGTTTCGTTCTTCCCATGGTCTGGGCTTCTTCCTTTCTGTCAGCTAGCTCCAAGCGACATATTGTTCGAGCTCTCTTTGCCGGATAGGGCCTGGCGCAATACGCTGCTGTGACCCTGGCAGTTGATTCAATGGAAGAGCAATGACATTCAAGATAGGTCAAAGTGTTCCTTTTTGTCTGATAAATTATAGATGACGTTGACCTTCTTTGTTTCGGCCAATCACCGCCCATAAAAGCGATCCATACAAGAATCAACTCACTTGTGAGCGAACACACACACAGACCGTTCTCTCATCGCCTCATGCAAGGAAAAAGCAATCTCGGTCCTTGGGCTTGGCTTGAGGACGCTACTAGTTGCTCCTGGCCTTACTACTAGGAACAAGGTATTAGATAGAAGAGTTCCCCTTCACCAGCCGCTGGTAGGAACTGCACAAACTGAGGAGTCACTTCGCACACCATCATGAGGAGTCACTGATCTATACTGGACACGTCCAAAACTTCTGGTAACTGTTAACCAATTCATACATATATTGATACTAAATTCTACACTCCATGGATCTCCATGGGAACTCACGGCATGAAAGACCTTGCAAGTTACTCTAAAGAGTAACTTGAAAGGTCTTCGAAGAGCGACAAACCCACCGACCGTGAGAGGGAACCCGATGGATCCATCCAAAAGAAACGTCTTGAAACGACAACCCGATGGATCCATCGTGGGAATTGATGATCTCCAAATGTCCAATATGTGTGTTTTTTGTCTTTATCCTTTTAGAGCTCTACAATGCTCTACAAGTACAGTTATAGGTTATAATCAAATCAGCGGATTGCCAAGTTGTTGAATTGAACCTGTGACTACTGAGCTTGGCATCTTGAAGTTCTACAACGAATCAATCTGGATCAATCTATGAAATCAACCTGCTTTGTTTTCACTTTTCTTTGTGATTGATCCAGAGACCAAAGCACTGCTTCGCAAAAAACACACCCACAAACACAAACACCTGTGTGGCGCAGTGGAAGTTCTCCGCGCGGCTGAACGCCCTAAAGAGTCGGTCATCTTTCGCATCAGTGTAACGGGCTAAGCGGCTACACCAGTCATCACGGGCGAACACCGCATCTGTGTAGCGTGTCGGGAAGCCGGTCGTTTGAGGCACTGGCAAAGTAAGGCTCATGAACTTCTCGAGCTGACACGAAAAGTGCGAAACGATTGGGCAACAATTCTTCCACAAAACACAGGTGATTTCAAAGTAGGATCTTCGGATCATTGCTTGTTCCTCTTTACAAAATACGAGACCAATAGGATTCGATGATTAGTTGCTGCCATCGGCATGTGCCTCGTGCTGGCAAGGAGGAACAATGCATGTCTACATGTCTTGAGCACGTCATGAAGCGCAATCGGTCCACGTACCATGTACCTATACCACGTGCCCTCTAAAAAGCCATTAGAATGCCATATACAATAATACAATATGAATGTATGAACGACCCTTTGAATCTGAACAAAGTGCCTACATCACATCTGAGACCAAGCTCTGAAACGAAAAGCGAACGGAGCAAACAGCAACAGACAGCTTTCCAATATTTATTACAGTAATAGACACTGGTGTAGATCCCACATGATACAAAACCCAATCCAAACTTCAAACACATGCAATGGATGACATATACTGTACCTTCGACCTCTACACATGACCACGTGGAAGGGGAGCATCTGGGGAGGGCAGCTGGCTTGCATCCTCACCTTGAAGGTCATCACCACCATCCCTGAGCCCAAAAGCCTCAGACGTTGCAAAAGGCCGAGGCAAACGCGTTCGCCGGTGTGCCGGTCCTCAGGACCGCTGTCGTTTCTGGTGACTGCTTTCTCATCCTCCGAGGCTTCTGTTCGGGGACAGGTTCTTTCGGCTCCAATCAACCCATTTGGGCCCTTGGGGCCCTGGCAAGTTGGCTGGAAGACCCAGGCTTTTTCGTGGGTCCTCACGAGTATGAACCAGGCATGTTCGTGGGTTTTCATCGTTTCGAGGCTTGGATGACCTTCTTCCTCCACAAACTGGTGGTTTTCCATTTCCATGATTGTTTCAGAGAGTGTCGATGACTGTGAGACAGCGAGCTACTCCATTGGCAAGCTTCAAGCACCTCTTCCGGGCTTCTTGCTTCCTTGAATGGCGACCGACAACTCTGGTGAAAGAGTGCTTTAGTCAAATGTGACCATTGTTGGCGCCTTTTGCGTTTGTTGGATCTTTCTTCGCACCCGTGAAGCGCCAACAAATGTATCCAACTATCTCATCACGACCCGTCGCATCTCATCGATCCGGGTCCAGGAAGAAAAGCAGCTTGCAGGCGTCCTGACAATTGGCTGGCCTCGGTCGTGGCGAGAAATTACAGCCGCACATCTTGAGACAGTGAAACCATGTGGTTTCTCCTCCGGCACGAGTTTTCTCCTGGCCATGTCTATGTTCCGAAGCGGAAGACAATAAAACTCTCTTCACTCCATGCAAGATTAGACCTGCATCAACATGCATGGACTGATATCAGTATTGGAGATACGCAGTTGGGACCAATTTCTGATCGATTGAGTTCGTCCTACATACTGCCAACCCTCCACAGAACGAACCTCAACATCCAAACAGCTTGATTTTGACATCCCATTGTGCTCTACGGGTGAAGAATGGTGAAGATGCAGGTGGATTCAACTGAATTACGCCTTTGCTGAGCCAGCCCAAGCCATGAATCTGAACCCCCAACACACCTGACTACTTGGCAGTTCCTGTGAAGTCTCCTGAAACATGCCCCACATCTGCGATCAGTGCGTCTGCATGCAAAAAGGTTAGGTGTCACAGTGTCTTCACAAGCTATTCACCGCTATTCACCACGCGATACAAAAGGCGCCCGGCAGCAAGTGATGCCCCAAGGTATGGATCAAATATGCGCAGAACGCCTCCTGAGTTGAGACCTCGCGAGGCAATGGGAAAATCCGAGCGGAGCGGTTTGGACCAATGGCGGAGGAACACGGAATGCACTCACGGAGCTTCGCGAAGCTCCACGGCTTTTCGAACTGGGTATTACACTCAGAAAATACCAGGAATCCAAGACACCCAGAAATCCAACAAAATACCAAGGTTTCCATGGAAGTCTTCCTTCAGCGCCCATAAAACCCATAAATCATAATCAAATCATGGATGGGAACAGGAACAGAAGGAAAGGTGTTGAGGGATGTTGAGTGCATCCTACGCTCATTCGTATATTGTATATCTTGTGAGAACCAAACAGTGTCTGCTGCGTAGACCCTACTCTCACGACAGCACAGAAACTGTCCAATGTTAAGGATCTTGACTGTTTTAGAGAACGTACAGCTCTGGATATCGCTGGTGTGCCGGGCCATTTCCATAGAGTACATTCTTGTGCAATGGCACTCTCAGCTCATGATCAGGATACTCCTGGAACAACGCAGAACATCATAATTTGATTGAACACAGGATCCTTACATCCACATACTGTTACTTTTTAAGGGTCATGACCACAGACCCTGCACCCCTACTTCCCAGCCATCACCGAAGCCAAACAAACCCTAAAGTTCTAAAGATGACAGCAGCTGCACATGTGATACGCCAAACCCTCAAAATTATCTCTAGAACAAACGTTCTCTGGGCGCTCCCACCCCCCCCCCCCGCACGCGTCACGCGTGGATTCCAGTTCAAGCGACCCAGTTGTCCTTGCCCGGCTCCACGATCTTGGGAGTCGCCAAGCTCTTCAGCGCGGCCAACTGACGTCCAGAAGCACTTCTCGACAGCTGCAGTGTGGCTTGGTCAATGAGAGTAAACAAAACAATACAGAACAATCAATATAGCTATCGTCCTTTCAACCTATCACAGTATCAAAAACCACACATTCAGACCTGGAGATGGATGATCTGAATCTGCTGACCCCGCCCAGTCGTACAGGAACCCACTGTTACTGATTGCAGGGCTTGTGTTGTCTCAGTCGGATGCGATTGGCAAGGTACCATTCCAAGGTCCTATGGAAGGTGAGACATCATTCAAGATCCTGCCGTGGTTTCAGAGTACATGGCACAATCCCCCAAAGTTGTTTCTTATTTAGTAGTTTTTCTAATGGACCTTCTACTCTAAAGCCACTGTATTTGGACTGAGGCCACACCCAGCTGGATGTGGGGCCCCCAGCACACCCATGCGGGACAGTTCTTGGAATCTGATGGAACGGAGTGTCCTGACAATCTGTAGATACACTATATATATATATTGCTTGGTATGAAGAAGCTACTAGTAACAAGAAGCTATTAGTTAATTGCACAATCCCAATTAAACCAGCAACAACCCCATCTAAAACCATCTAATTAATGGAACATGTTCTGACTTTCACACTCTTTAGTGTTCATGATCCGCAAACCACAAACCTCCATCCAGATGCACGGAACGGGAGTCTCAAACGGTATCGAACGTGCCGGAGACCCGTGCCGCCTCACCATCGGAGAAGTAGAGCCGATCCCTATGGAGACCTCAGACGTCATCGAGCGCCCGGGTAGAGAAGTGGTCCATTCTCCAGTGCCCGGGGTTGAACATTGAACATTGAATAAGACGTTGGTCATGAGACGTTCACACCCGGGGTGGAACACCCCGGAACGATCAAAAACGGGTGGAGGAAATCCATACTATGATCAAGGTCGTCCATTTGATTGGTAGATTGGTAAAGGCCGAAAAAAAGGGAAGAAAAAAGGATCCTTGTGCCATGTCTTGCGTTCAGACTCCCACGATAGTCATCCAAATGCTACACCACGGGTGCCTTCGACGTCCTTCCTCTCCTTGGACAATTGTTTTTTGCCTTTAAACTTGGAACAACAGCAACATGTTGGGTCAACGTTTTGGAGTTTAGGGTCCCCAAAGGCTTGGCCCACAGACTGGGTTCTGCTGTGGCCCCGCTGGGCTGGATGCCAGTCCCAGTCACAGCTGTCCCCAGTTAGTGGGGTCAGCAGCATCACCCATTGGTCTTCGAACAGTAGATGGCTTTAGAAGCGTCAGCGAGGATGCAAACGACAAGGGCGTCTCCTTGTGAACAGGAATTTGCTCAGAGGATGGGGCGACGAGACTGTAGGTGTGGGCGAGCCATATCGAGCCATGTCCCGACATCCAAGACTCTGACTGACACCAAACTGCCGGAAAGCCATGTCATACCTGGAGCGTAGAACGTCCAACCACAAGGTCAGCTTGGTGAACGTCGAAGGTTTCGATCCATCCGGAAACCGGAGCACCCGCAGCCTGGAGGATTTGCGCATCTCGTTCAGTGCTTCGCTTGGTAGAAGGTCCTAGATGAGTTTTCCTCTTAACAAATCTTGACTTGTAAGTCATGCACATGGAGAATAGAAGGAATCGATCTCCAAAATAACTCAAAATCCTCCAAAAGGTGCCGTGTTTGCTGTGTTCACCACGTGGACAGAGACGAATCTTTTTCGGACCTGGTCCGTCGCAGTGAATGTGAAGCGTTCACCCGAAACGACGCCTAAGGTGATGAGGAAACTCATCCAACATCATGATACCCATACATGCTATGATAAACATCATGGACTAAGGTAAGACATGATACATCCAACATCATCCAACATCATCCAATTGACCCTTCTAGTTCACCCGTCGCCACCACATCCAACAGAACCATGTGCCATGTGGCCGAAAGCACCGCTGCCCAAGCGCCGGTGCCGGAGTACGGCGGGGTCTCTTGGCCCCCCCTTACGGCTTGCTCAAGAGTGTGAAAATAGCTTTGATGGCCTGGCGGGTTAAGCGAGAGGCAGCGGGATGGGGAAGGGGGGGGAAGTGGTCCACTTGTCTTGGAACATCTTGCAACTTCCAGGAGTCACAAGAGGTGGTGTAGCTCGTCCCCTTACGTGAGTGGAGTAGCTGGGCACGCCTAACCTCCATGGATCGCACCCCGTCGAACGTGACTGCTGGTTATTGATCTTCTTTGCTTCCAAGAAATCACAGCTACCCAGCTCCTCGGACCTGGACCTGGACGAAACACCAGCGGCTTTCGGGTGTTGTCGGGGCGTCACGGCCAAGGCCCCGTTGCGACGGGGAGGAGTCCTTTGCTGCAAAGTCAGCTTTGCTGTTTGGGGTCCCGGGTGCAACTGGGGAGGCAACGACCTTCTGAGGATCTAGTTTTATGTAGTTTTGAGATCCGTAGATCCTGGATAGACAAAAAAACAAACAAACGCATATTGTCCTATCTCCAAAACGCCAGCTTACTTGTTCGTGTGATTTCTTCTCGTAAGTCTTGTTCCTGATTTGCAGAAATCTTTGGATTACAATTGCTTCACCAAAGACAATTGAAGCACAGCGCATGCTGCGTACGCAGTTCACAAAGCTTCATTTCGACCTACCTGGCCATCCAACCCCGAAAGTGTTTGGTTTAGCCACGGGGGGATCTTCATCGACCACTTCTCCAATCCCAATCCCAGCCCACCTGGTTGTGAGGACCTGCACTCATCTTCCTGATCAAAAGGAACGATGGGGCATCCAAAAAAGACGAAGACTTGCCAAGATTTCTTCCAGATTCCATCCACAAATGTTCTGATCAACTAACATACAGTAGTAATAATATATTATGCATTGCTATGCATCATAATATTGTTACATATTCGTGCGTTCGCATATGCTCATCTGGTTGGCATCCTCTGTTGGAACAACCAAACTCTGTGGCTGTGAACTCTTAAGGACGCAAATCATTCTTTCCACACTATCTCTTTGATGTAGACTGTAGACTCTTCATTAATACACCCCCCATATGAAGAGGACTTCCAATTCAATTGGGAGGGTTTACTGATCAAGAGTGCACATGATGGTGTTTTGTCCCCCAAGAAACCTGCAGTCGCATGTTTTGGGGATGGTTACTGTAACCATGTCGAACCAATGTGGACCGGACCGAGATGGAGCGGTCTACGGAGCGAGTACGGAGGGGAGGGGATAGGACGTGTGTAAACGATGTGATGTTCTTTTCCAAGTGGTTTCATGGGTTGACTTAGTTTCCCATCCATTTTCCATCCAAGCCAGCTGTGGTGTCTTTTTTCAGCACCACAAAAAATGGGTCGCCCTTTACTTGGCTCGGACCCCGCGCTTGCCAATCTCTTTCTCCCCCAGTTGCAACGTCTCTTCTTCATCCGGAATCAGTTGGATGACCTCGTCCGCTTCTCCGGTGCTGGGTCGAAGGAACAACATGGCACGAGCAAAACGAAACATTCGACCATGTCGCATGGTTCGAACACTTCACGTGTTGAACATATATTTGCCTGGTTACAACATACACAATGGAACTGGACAAAACAACACACCTGTTGGTCAATCAATATGTAATTGTTTGATCTTTTCGGGATCTTTGTGGCAGAGAACTCAACCCAACCCAGTCCGTACGTACGTTGAACATGGTTGAACAAAAGGTATTGAGGTTCTGAAAGGCAACCTTCAACTATCAATTGCATAAATGATGCAAATCACCAGTTTAATGAGTCAGGAACCAATTTCAAGTTCTGTCAGGTGTGAAACTCCCCAACCACGTGGAACGCAACAAATTTGACCCTGTGAAACCTGGTGACGTGGTGACTGTGTTGCACACCCCATTGATCTACCCCATGTGTGAGCTCATGGCCATAGCCTTCCACACATTCACCGGTACCTTGGTGGTTTTGGGCAACATGTCTGGGCTCTACCAAGGACTAAATAACTGGTCCTATCGATATATATATAGGGTTGGGATGGGTTGGGTTGGGTTGACAAGATTGTCCTGTCGCCTGTCAATGAACATCTTGGGAATGAGACGCCTTGGCCTCCTTAGGGCTAAAACAACACGAGGGACCTGGGGCGCCGACCAACGACCTTCCCTTCTGCGACCCTTTCATCATCCCTCACCATCCGACCTGCTCTTTATCCCAAACAGGAACTTTTGCGTCCTCGCAGAGCAATTGAAGGGTGCGTGGCAGCCATGTTGATGGCAAGTCTGCATTAAGTTACGAGCAATCACCCCGAATGCTGCCGCAAAGCCTTACGCTACCATGTCCGGGTTGGCCAAGACCTGATATGTCAATTGTTTTCGGTGAGAAATCTGTCTAAGAGGATCCTGTCTATAACTTGGACTTCTGGCCAATGATGATGCAAGCCCCTGGTGGCCGGGCACTTTAGCTTCTATAGCTCAATCACCGAGGCAAGCCTCTGTCAACATGTGAAGCTCGATCAGTATTGGGCTTGGACTGTGCCGTCTCGCTTGACGCAAGCAAGGAGAAGAGATGTGAATTAGCCGTCGTCAATCAAAAGCCAGGGGCTTGGCTTAAATGGATGTCCCCCGTAGCACGGGGGCGGCGTCAACACGGTGCCATACGGCTCAGCGCGTGCCGGACCGACTTGACAAGCAAATCATGGAATCGTACCTAGCGGTCCCAAAACAAAGATAGACTAGAGAGAGGAGTGCACTTGACTTGTCTACTTTGGGTTTGTGTATATACATGTGCTGCATACCATCATGGGGGTACACGGCAAGTCATGCGCTGAAGCCAGGGCCGTCCAGCTTTCATGCCGAGTATACACAGCAGCCTGTTTTTTGAAATGACTGTGGCCGCAACTGCGCAACGAAATCTGTGGCTAGATCAACAAAAACAACACTGGCCTTGTGCGCAGCCACCTGTTGGATTACAATGAGTGAAGCGTTTCTTTTCAATTGAGCGGTGTTCAAAATTGTGTTGTCATCTTCTTGCCGAGAAATCAAACCTTACGGTAGGCCTTACGCAAAGCTTACGTTCTTCTATCTTTTGCTTACGGTGACACATGTATGCATGGCTATTCTTACGTTGTGCTTACGGCGAAGGTATGCAAGTCCACTATGGTCACATATGAAATGTTGTTGCAAAACAAGAAAGGACAAATCAACAAGTGTCGCTTCCGGCAGCCTTCCGGCATCGTTCAAGTCTGCACATCCTTACGGCAAACATTACGGACACCTTACAAACATCAGCTAAAATCACTATGTTCACTGATTTTTCGCCGGTCCCTGACTAAAAAGAAAGGGTGAATTTAGAACGCTGCTCAATTGAGAGCCTTTTGAAAGGCTGCTTGGCGATCTTAGACTGGAGACAACAAACGATAAACGGTCTAAAGACTATGTGTGAAAAGCATTCAGTTGATATCTACCTAGGGTAGTTTGGAGGGTGACTTGACGGAAAACATAAGACACCGTGTATACATATATATATATATATGTACGTAGCCCGCCCGTACTAACCCATACGGAACCCGTAGTTTCGATCTGCCCCAAAATAACAATTGTGTTTTGAGAATCCATGTATTTAGCCCGTATGGAACCGGTACTTAACACATTAGCCGCTCTAAACATATTGCTGTTTTAGCATCTTAGGCTCACAGCTGCATGTTGAAGGCTCACTTTCGATCCGGGTGAAAAGTGTTCTTGGTGGTCGACATTCAGTGACGTGTGACGTGTCGTCCGCATTCAGGTGCGTGCCGTCAAGTCGAACACATATGTTGAAAAGATTGTCTTTTCTTGAAAGTCAAATTTGAATGGCCAAAACAAATGGAAGAATCGGAAGAATGGTTGACATTTGGTGACTTGTGGATCCATTAAGATCCCACGGCGCGCACCTGAAAGCAAGACCCGTGAGACAGGTGTTTGCTTGTACCAGCAGGGAAAAACATGCTTTCCATCTCTTCCCTTCGATACTTCATCCAGGAGTCTACAAATTGCTAGTACTGTTAGTGTATTGAGACATATACTGCACATCTCAAAAAGTGACTATGGAGTGGTAGCCATCAACATCATAATCTTAATCATCAAGCAACAAACCCATCCCACTAGCAATAAGCAAAACGTGGGCGTCGGTTCTCTGTTTCGAGATTTCACGATTTACTTATCTTGCTGTGCATGTGGAGCCTCTACCACAAAGAATATTTTTGCTTCTGCACTAGAGGCATCTCATTTTGAGGGTGGCTGAAACGAATCTGTACCCAACTCGCCCTCGAGTTATGGAAATTCTTGAGGAAAAACGCGGTTGTCGCGGAGACACTGTGGGTCGAAAAAGCTAGCATAAGCTAGCGTGGGTGGAACAGCGCGCGCGCACCAGCCTTGGGAATGCTCATCGTTACCAGCAGGGAAAAGATCAAGTCTGGGCAAAAACAAGGCACCTGAACTGTGTGAATGCATTAATCCAACACTCTTCCGATTGGGCGCGAGCAAGACAAGACCCATCATTTAATGGCCCATTTGTTCGTTGAGGCTTCCATAGATTTCCCACAATGATGACATTTCAAGTAGATAGTGTACTGGATTGGATCTGGCCATCGGTCTCCTAGTTTTGAACCTGACCAACAAAAACACATGATCTTTAAACAAACTTTGTGATTTTTTGGGTCAGACTTACTCTATACTGGTTCTTCTCTGTATTGTCTTTCGGACCCACTGTTTTCCGGTCCTCGCACCGTGCCAGCGCAGACCTGCCGAGAAGCTTCTGGCCGGTTGTTTATAATGAGAAACTGAATTCCAGGCACAATCGTCTCCAACAAAGCAAAAGGTAGTTTTTGTTAATTTTTTCGTCACCTACCCCTTCTTTGAGGCCCATGAAAGCCTTTTGACTGAAACCGAAGAAAAACACACACATGGTCTTTGGTCTTTGGCGCTGCATCTCGAACCCTCTTAGCCAGGAACGATACAGGAGGGCAGTTCCTTCCCTGGTCAAACTCGGGTAGCTCCATTTGACGAGTTGACCAACCTTTTTTCGATACCAAAAGTGTTGGACGTGCACCATTCTAAGAAGGTTTTAGAGGTTTGGGATGTCGGACGTAGGATTGATATTGACACGACGCGAAGAGAAAAACACGTCTCACACATTATCATAACATATTATCAAAAAAAGTAGAATAGACATCATGAACACTTGCATCTATCAATTTACCTTGTTCAACATCCAATGTCCGAGCCAATCCAGCCGCACCCTTCTCGCACCCTTTCCACCCACCATCTCCCCGAAGTCGACAACGCCCTCCCCAGGTCTTCGGCGCACCAAAAGGCGAGGAAGGTCCAGGCGGAAGTGCCGTCAAACAACATATGTGACCGGCTCCTGAGAAGTGAACAAAACACGCTTCACTGAGCAGCATCGTTCCCCAAGCGAAGAAAAGAGAAAAACGGTCGCGAATGGATTTTGGTTCTCTAAAGCCCTTTTTAAACATATGCAAACCTTTAGAGTTCAAGCCAGTACGTACCTCCTTTTTCTCTTGACGTCGCGTTTTTTTCGCTGCGTTCCGACAGTGCTTCATCAGATTTCTGAGGATCCCAGCATGCAAAGCACTGCCGAGTTGTCTTTGAAGATCGTGAGCTTCACTGCCATCCTTGGACCGTCGAAGCGACTCTTTTTGGGCGGGCGATTTTGGTGAAAAACACCACTCGCGGCTGGAACAAAAACAGCAAAACATCAGAGTAGCTATATGTAGTTATTGTTCATTTGCGGGCTCCGTGACTTGGACCTGAACTCTTCCACCTATAGTGACGCGTTGTTCACTCAACGGAAAGAGAGATCCAATAAATCCGAGTCGTGAAATGAAGCATGCAATGTTTAGAGAGATGTGGAGCTGAAGAAGTCTTCCAGATCTTTTTCCGTTGTCATGTTTCCCCACTTGTCAGGTGAGGGTTGCTAGATTTATGTCAGCTGCCGTCATCGCTCCAGATGGCAGTGTTCCCCGCCGGACCTCAGCCGCCAGCTCCGGATGGCAGTGTTCCCCACCGCACCTCAACCGCCAGCTCTGGATGGCAGTGTTCCCCACCACACCTCAGTCGCCAGCTCTGGATGGCAGTGTTCCCCACCGGACCTCAACCGCGAGTCAGAAGATATGCCAGAACGCCAGAAAGAGTGTAAGAGTAAGAGTGTCAGAAAGAATGTGAGAAGATATGCCAGATAGAGTGTCAGAACGAATGTCAGAAATATGCCAGAAAGAATGTCAGCAGATATGCCAGCGAGAATGTCAGAAGAGATGCCAGAAAGAATGTCAGAAGAGATGCCAGAAAGAATGTCAGCAAATATTCCAGGAGAGTGTCGGAAGATATGCCAGAAAGCATGTCAGAAGAGATGCCAGAAACAATGTCAAAAGATACGTCGGAAACAATAGCAGAAATGACGAACGAAATACTGTTTCAATACATGCCAGAAAGATTGTCAGATTGAAATGTCATGGTGGGGATGACTCGCAGTTATAAAGTATTTTTGCTGAAGGGCTTCGCGGCTTCAAGACTGTTGCCCACGATCTGGAATCACAGCAACATGTCGAGGCAGACCAAAGCACGAAGGGCAAATGACCATGGTGGTTCGGAGTTTACCCTGTGGACAGGGCGCCGCGCACAGGTGCTTTGCCCCGGTAGACGGCACCTGTCTGGACTTAGCGCAGAGGGGAGTCGAGGCAGCGAAATCGCCGAGCGGAGCTTATTATATGCAGATGTAACTGACAATTCCATCAAAACCTTAGCTGCCAAACCTTGGTTTCAAAAGAGGAAACTGGACTCCACGAGGGAAATGATTTCGGGGAGGTGGGCACCTCTTTGGAGACCGTGTAGGTCTCCACGGACCGGTCCTGTACACCTCGCGTCCTTTGGGGAACCACCGGTGGATGCACCTTCTAAGGAGCAAATCATTGGGGTGTATGGGTGAGAAAGACAGGGCATCATGGGAGGTAAGGAGCAGACTGCAGCAGACTCATTGGGTCTTTGTTATGGGGTGACTAAAAGAAAGGGGCATCATGGGAGAGGACATTCTGAAAGCTCCGAAAAGGCCAAGATGAACTTGGTTTCCCCAGATCGTGACTAAAGTCAGGTCTTCAGTGAGGAGCTTACATCAAACGGACAAGGCAAATGGGAACCCACCGATGTGCGGGTTTGCCTTCTCAGATCTTCTCAGCTTAAACGTGGCTGCGCTCTTGGCAGACTGCGCTCTCTCTGTGACTCACGAAAAAACTCCCCTCTGTTGACTAAACGGCGCTTGAGGATCCCTCTAAAACTCGCACAGCCAGCAGAGCCTGGATTTGGGAACTCTGCAAAGTCCAGCAGCTGTCGCTCCTCCGGTCTAGTCACACACCACCCGTCACGCGTGCGGTTGTGCTACTTGAAGGATGCTCTTTGGCTTTGGCAGACATTGGAGGGATAAGTATTCCGTCTTTAGAAGCCAACTCTCCACAAATCTACAGTATATAGCTCCTAGAAAAACAACAACAACAACAACAACAGAAGCGAACATGTTTGGCCCCAAAACAGCATCCTCTACTCTTAGCCACTCTCCTCCAAGACCTCGGGCGCCTGGGCTTCGCCGCTTTGGACCACCTGCGAGGCGAGCAGCGCTTTCGGGCAACGCGTTCAAAAGAACGAAGAAACGAATGAATGGACATGAATGGACCATCCAAATATGTTTGAACACATCAATCTGTTTTATGAACCATTATATACTTTTGTGGTCCGGCAGTCCTATCCAACATATAGAGACCAATTCAGCAACCAGCAACCCAACCGATCTTATTAATTCAAACATATTCAACATATACACTCAATCCATTCATGACACCACTTATATAGTGACACCACGAACCTAGCCATTTGGTTTCACCACTCAATGAATGGATGGCCGTGATTGGCCGTGTAGGCCACCGTTTGGTAAACCCCAAAAAACTCCCCAGCCCCAGCCTTCTGTTTTCGATGGCCCTCCCACCATGCTTCGTTCACCATGCGATTCTCCCCGCGAGTTCACCACGGCAAACCACGCCGCCCGCCTGAAAGGGCACGCCAGCGCCGTTTAAGGCCAGCGATCGACCTCCAAGGTGCAGCCAAAGGCATCAGAACACTGACGAGGAATAGAGAAATAATCAAGGTTTGCTGTGAAGCTTCTGTGTTGTGTGTCTTTTTGGTGGAGTCTGTTTGAAGCAAAGCAATGCTCCTGCAAACCATCGGCTACACAGAATGCTCAATGCTGAGCTTTGGACCATTGTTGCCTCAGGCCGAAGAAAGAAAACAAGAAACTGAAACCCATTGACAAAGTGCTTGGCAACCCATCGCCGATGTCAAAGGAAAGGACAATCTATGGATTTGTGTCAAGCTTGGGTAATTCTGCCCCCACCAGCAGCTTTCGCTTGTCCAATTTGATTTCTGGAATCAGTAGACGCGCCACATCGCGCATGGCATTTAAGTCTGAACTCGTCAAGTTTGGTCCAGCTACATTGAAGAAATCCCTCCAATCGCTGTGTTGGATGCTCGATCCGGCCCTATGAAGAGATAGGATGATTCATCCTGGCGATCATACCATATTCGAGACAGACCGAAGGGCCTCTTGACCATCCAGGTCATCAGTCATCATGTTCAGACTTCGTCGGAAAACTGATTTCACTTCCGTGGCATCGCGTCAGGGGTGGAGGGTCCAAAGAAACAGTTCCTGACCAAGGCTTTTTCCCAAAGTGATTTTAGTCGACAGGTCGATGTCTTGGCGTGGTGTGGTGGGCACTCTACGGCCACCATGTGGCATCAGCGTTCACGTGGTAACAAAAACCTAACAAAACCTTGGGCAATAAATGCTTCGTGCAATTGGTACTGTCATCACTTGATCCCATGTTGACCTGGCGATTGCCAGACCCTCCGTCCATCAACGAGTACGTCCCATGCTGACGTGTTTTCCTCGTCAGGAATGAGGGTGGCTGGATCCTAAGGTATCTATAGTGGATGGGGGTCATTCCCTTCCCTACGAGTCGCACGAGTCAGCTGTTCGGTCGACCTGGAGCATCCGACAGAAACGCCCTGCTGCCGTGGGCACCGCCTGCGAGAACTACGCCGTGCGGGACCGGTGGCATGGACTTCCTCGATCGATCCGACATGCTGTAGATCCTGAAACAAAAGACGTCTGAAAGGTGTTTCCTTCATAAGCCTTTAAGCCAACAAACCGTTTTTGGATCATTTTGGGGTGGATCTTTCTGCAGTTCAATCTTACTTCTTCAGCCATGGTCTTCCCCTTGGCGCCAGTCCACTCACATATTTACGCCAAAAGCCTCGCCTCGAGTGCACGAGCCAGGGAAGATTTCAAGCGAGGCTCATCCACTGTGGGTAAAATCAAGGCAATGGCCTTGCAGTGCATTGCAGGATCAAAATCAGTGGAGCCTCGTCTCTGACCACTTTAGGGACTTGGCCGTATGATTTCCACATGATTTATTAAAAGGTCCGAAATTCACAATATAGCAAACGTGTTTCCAAGTGGGATGGGTCCGACATCTGCATACCCAATGTGGGATTCTGATTCTGTTGGGGTATTGAAGGTATAAGCTACTAATCCAAACACCGTCGTCTGAGCGGGCACTTGCCATTGGAGACAAGGGGTAAAAGGAGTGAGAACAACAAACTGTTGAGAACTTAACAAATCCGGGCGTTCATGTACTGCAAACCAATCTCTTTCTTGCTTAGCTAAGTTCCGCACAAGTATCTTGGTGATATCTTGTGTTGTTTGATATGTTGTGGAACTGGCATTGACAACTGCCCCTAACAGGGGTTGTTTTTGGTGTATGTCGGGACTTAGTTTGCCACTTCCCAATTCAGTGTTTTCCCTAAGCAATTGTATTCAATCATGTATATTACATAAGGATTTCAGTCAGTCTGCCATATCATTGTGTTATGTGTTTTTGTTGTTTTCTACTGTGATAACTGCTGTGATCTATATATGATCATATCAATCTGATTTTCCTCAATCTATTTGGTTTGGGGATGGGGATCATAGATCAATCCATCCAGAGACAGAGACGCGGTTGAAAATTGAGATTTGGTTTAGTCTGCTCCAACTGAAAGCACTTCATGTGTTTTTCTCCACAATTTTTCTGTCTGAGAATTGGGCAGACTGGGAAACATGTTCAACATCCTGCGGGAATGGAGTGAGATGCTGAGTTCTCTTTTGGTTTGCTAGGTTGGAGGCAATCACCAACTCCGCGTCCATGGTATCGCTTTTGATGGACCACCACCCAGACACGACTCATGGGACTGGCATATTTTACATAAACTGATCAGTAAATATGCCAGTAATTGACATACATTGACCCCATTTCAACCACTCTCGCGATACTCTCCGGCTGAGACTTCGAACCGGCCCGCCGCAAGAACTACGTTCGAAGTCCCACCACCTTCGACGGCGTTTCCCCGGATAGCCCGATTCAGACTCCAGGCCGGATAGCAGGCCATTGCCAATGGGCCCCAGCCAAAGGTGTTCTGCGATGACTCGATGGCATCGATCGAAGGCGTGGGTGGAGCCGTGAACGACCGAAGCTACGGTCGTTACTAGAATGCTTTTGTGTTACTAGTAGCGATGGCTTCCAACCTAATAGCGATGGCCTCCACCTAGTAGCTTCGGTCGTTACTAGAAAGCTTTAGGTGTTGGCCTGTGTAGGTGTTGGAGTCGTGACTTAGGAATTGCATGCGTGCCGGATGTCCACCTCTCTCATTGTAATGAATCCCAGATTTGTCTTTTGTGATTTTGGCATTGTGTGGCTCTGTTGCTTAAAGTTGTTAGAAGAACTGAAGGAACCTGACAGTAGTGCATGAGCTCATGTTCTGGACTTTTGAACGCATTGTGAAGATCACCCACCCAACTCAGGCCCAACTGCACCCAAAAACATTGTTGCATATAATCCTCTTGTCCTGCACACGCCCCACAAGTATCTCATAGAACTCCATTGAAAAAAACGCATTGGCCTGATCCTTCTCACTCAAAAGCTCAGAAGGCATCGAGCGCTGAGCCCTCCCATTCCCAAGGCCCAAAACTGTACTTTGACTATATAATCATTTCACGTGGCAAGCTCTGTGTGACTGGGTGCTCCTGCAACCCTGTCTATGTTTAAAGCTCAAAGCATCACTTTCATTTTGCCGTTTTCAGTATAGGAAGTTCGTGGTATAGAGGCATTCAAGGTTCTGGCGGTGTGCATGTCAGCACTTGGTGGGAGTTCCTTGCTACAGTATCACTGGAACCCTGTTGATGGCAGCCCCCCCCAGCCAGTCCGGAACATCTCAAGGTTCTCAAGAAGCCCACGTGGAGAAAGAAAGGACCCGAATGGGCAACATCACATCTCATGTGCATCATCAGCAACATGATGGGTCATGTATGGGTCTGCTGGTTGGGGGTCTGCATGTTGATGCCTACTTGTGTGTGCCCTAGTTGCACTGGACCTCAAAAATGAGTTCCACGGTTCCACGGTTGCCACGGTTCCCTTCCAGCGATCCTCCGACTCCAAGACGGGGATGACACGAGAAGGGTCACCACCTGGTCAACGGGAGAAAGTGCTGCCAAGAACTGGTCACCACGGGAAGCAAATAAAAACAAGAAAGTGAAAGAAAGTGACAGATTTATGATATATGTATATGCTACCAGTATATATATATATATATATACAATATAATTTGTTATTGGGGTCCCAGATTTGGACACGAAACCCATTCTGTCCTGTGTGGTCCATATATTCCCTTTCGCTACAGTGTACTTTTCGTCCTAACATCCCACTCGCACGTCGCAGGGGCGGGGCTGGATGTGCAGATCCAGGTGACCAGTTTGTCGAACTCATCCACTCTGGATTGACTGGGAAGAGCTCGACCGCTGACTGGTCTCTGTATTACCCTCACTGCAAAACTTTCAATCATGAGCCCCATAGGCCTGGTCGACCCCCCCCAATACTAAACTAATTTAAAGCCTAGATTTCCACCTTACCTTGGCATCCCCCTAATATTTTTTTCCTGGGCAGAAACCTCCCCCTAATAATCAATCCCAGCTGCCCACCAAAAAATATAAATATTGTTTACTATATATTTGTAATTATATTACTTTTACTTCTTTTTAGCTAGTCTCCAATATCTTCTATATTTCCCCAGATAGCGCAGCTATAGGGGTTCTTACTTCTCAATGGATGGGTTCCTGATTGCGGAAATTGGCTGCCGCTGCCGCTGCCGCCTTGTCTGCGAAGCTTGTCTCCCTTCATGATTTCGCTCTTGGCTGCCGCTGCCGCCTTGTTTCCCAAGCTTGTCTCTTGTCAATTTCGCTCTTGGCTGCCGCTGCCGCCTTGTCTGTGAAATTTGTCTTTCTTGATGATTTTGCTT